CGGGACTGACCTAGGGTGAATTTTTAAATAGGGACAATTTTTAATGATTTTAAATAAGACACAGCTACAAATATTTGGTTTTTAATTGGCTTTTATAGGGAAATGTTTTGTATTGTTTTTAATATGCTGTGAGCCGCCCTGAGTCCCATGGGGGAGAAGGGCGGCATATAAGTTAAAGTTAAATAAATAAATAAATAAAAAATGTCCTAGACCAGACATGTCAAACTCGTGACGTCGCGTGACGTATTGGAACTTTTTCGCCATTGCCAGCAATGGGGTGGGCGCGGTTTCCTCATGACGCATCCGGCCCACGGGCCTGCAGTTTGACATCCCTGTGCTAGAAAGATCCCCACCCTTGTTTTCTGAAAATAGGAAAATAAAATGTCCCCAAGCCACTCAGATGGCTAGTCTCCAACCTCCATGATGTCTCTTTTCTGTTTTGCCTTCATTCTCTGTCTTTCAGTTCCTCATTGCTATTTTTAATCAGAAAGATGCTGAGTACATTCTTAAATTTTCAGTATTAGGCCCTAGTCTAAATCACACTTGTGTTTGGATTTGGGCATCACACAGTGTTGAATGCTTGTGCTACACCAATCTTCTAATATCAGACTCTAGAACTACATTGATTTCTTCTTGTTATATCAGAGTTTAATTTGGGACTACAGTTCAGTCCTCCAGATCTGTTATTTTATCTGATTAAGTGCTGAAATCTTGCTGGTGAGCATTGAAGTACATTTAACTCTCCTTCCAAAGTTGTAACCTGTTATTTTTATATCATTTGACAGGGTGGTGCCCCAGAAGAAAGTTACAAAGAAGGAACCCTTGTATCTTGGGATAGGTAAGAAATATGATAGAATATAAAATCATTCCACTTAAAAAATATTATAGTATGAAAAAATACAATAGCAATAGCATATAGACTTATATACCGCTTCACAGTGCTTTACAGCCCTCTCTAAGCTGTTTACAGAGTCAGCATATTGCCCCCAATAATCTGGGTCCTCATTTTATCGACCTCAGAAGGATGGAAGGCTGAGTCAACCTTGAGCCGGTCAGGATCAAACTGCTGGCAGTGGAAGGCAGGGTTAGCCTGCAGTACTGCATTCTAACCACTGCACCACCATGGCTCCTTATTAGAGATATAAATCCTTGCATCTCTAATAAGCAACAATAATACAACACTACTGTGTTATAAAGTATACTGTGATTTTAACTGGATATGCTGTTTTTTCAGAATTACATTAATGATTTTTTTCTCGTTGTTAATGTGCATCATTCGAAAGTCCCTGTTTGAATGGTTTGTCTCCCATCATTGTTGTCTGCAATTTGAAGAGAAATTGGAAGATTGATAGGAGTGGGGGATTAGCTGTAAGAGCCAAAGGCATTGGCTTCTTCCCATGAACCCTCTAGTGTACAAACAGACCATCCATGAGAACCATGGCTAGTATAGTAACATAATATGTAATGGGGGGGGGGGAGAAGCAGATTTTAAGGATTGTTATAGTAGTAGTCAATTTTCAATGCTGGTACTACTAGTACTTATTTTTCATTTAAGAAGGTGTTCTTCCCCTTCCTATAAGTGTCCACGTCTGGGACAGTACAACTATTGTTCCACATAGTGTTCTCCAAAACACATTCAGTAAAATGGGCTGCGTGAACTATGAAAATTGCCTGTAGGTTTGCCTTTCCAAGTACAAGTAGTTAGAAGCCATATACATCTTACTCTCTTATTGTGTTCATTTTTAAAATAAATAATGTACATGTATGTTAGAAAAATCTGTTGAGCCCAGTATGCTAAAAATCTGATTAACCTCTGTGAAACAAATTAAGTGCGGCATCGATTAAAAGCCCCATGGGAGTATTAAAAAAGCTGGGGGGGGTGTGTGTTGTGTATGTGTATATATCGGACAAATCTTAACAGAAAAAGTCTGCATCTTGCTCCATCAATGAATTTCAGAGCAGTGTTCCAGAGCAGCAGTAGATAGGAAAGGAGAATTTATTTGGAGGCAATCTAGTTATCTTGATTTTTGCATTAAGGTTCAATGGGCTGAAAAAACACAACACAGAAAGCATTTTCTGTCAGGATAGCCTCCTTGAGTTCCCATAAGAAGGATGTTTGGGAAGCTTCCTCCCCAGAGCTTGGGAGGAATAACAGCTTTTTCTTCTCTTCACTATAGGTAATCCTCGATTTATGATCAGTTGCTTAGCGACTGTTTGAAGTTAAAGTGGACATATCTGGGGGGAGTACTTACAACACAGATTCAAACTTCTGATGGTTGCCCCTCCTCCATGGCCACATGACTACACTTCAGGGACTCAGTAACTTCCCCACATTTGTGACCATTTGAGTCCCATGGTCACATGACAGCATTTTACTATCGATTGCCCAAAACTAGCATTTGCAAAACTGGCCCATAGCAAACCTTGGATTTGCTTAATGACCACCACCCAAAAAAGTCATAAAATCAGGTCAGTCATCGCTTTACAACTATCACAAGTTATGACTGTGGTGTGCTGTAGTATGGTCATAACTCAAAGACTACCTGTAACCTTAGTCTCCCCCATGACTCAGAGGTTAATGTAATGCTTCCATTGAAGGGTCTATATAGGATTGCAATTTGAATGTATAAACTATGACAAAATGCATTCCCAAAATTTCTTGAGAAGAAGCCTTTAAGAAGTATCTTGTAATTGGAATAAATAAAGGATGCTGTCCTTCTTTTTATGAGAGATTGAACTATTAAGATTCTTAGTAAGTAGGAATATTGGGAGGATTGCTTGTACCTATTACTTATGAGTTTGGTGCACCCTTTCGGCCCAAATACCCTGTCTCATAGCTGACAAAGTGAGAAAGAGCCTGTGGTCTAGAGGTTAATACATCTGCCTAACATGCAGACAGCCCAGGTTCGAATCTCAGAAGGGTATGTCTGGTTGAAAAGAACTAAAAAGTTCGAAATGGCTATTCCAGTTCTCCCTTAATTCTTTGTTAGCAATCCAAATTTTGAAATATATAGATATATAGATATATAGATATTCCACATATAACAGCCTAATAGTGCATAATGTACTGAGGTGTTTTGTGTATGTTTAACCCAAAGCCAACCTCAGACCCAAGTACTAGATGAAGAAATCACAGAAGATGATCTTCGGCTCATTGAAGAAAGAGAATCAGCCATCAGGCAGCTGGAGGTGAGCACTGGCTGTTGAGATCAAGAACAAGATGTGATTTATCATATTATGTCCATGAACTGAAACTGCTTGAGATGGAGCTTGTTGCCCTTTAAGCTAATAGCTCCTATAATTAATGAATAAGAACCACATTGCTCAGGACATCATATAGCATTACCATTACTTTACAAGAGTTTAAAGTTTGCTTTCTTTGTGGATACCAAAGTGTCATTAAAATGTCTTTCATAATCTTGAACCTTGAAGATCTGCTAGGATGTCAATTCCCATTGGAGGTTAGATTCTGATTCCTAAGACAAATGGATTTCCCCAGTTTGGGGGTGAATACTGCTATCGAATAACCTAAGCGTAATCTACACACTCAACAGAGAACTTGCTAAGACAAAAGTACGCCAATTTTATAAAATCCAAAGACTTTGAATTAACTAAGACTATGGAACCAGAGATACTAGATATGTCTGTCCCCATTATTGTTGTATGATATAAACATGAATTAAATAATTGCCTCAGAATTCTTGTAAGTTTTGTAGTCTTGCTCATGAAGTCTGTGATTTGTAAATGATTTTATTGGAAGAATTAAGCCTAAAATTATATTTTTAATAAGATAGGAAATGAACAAAGTCATGTTCATGATTATGTTCAGCATTTGAAACACATTCTGCTTTCTACTTGTCATTTTTCATTCTTTTTATTTTTGCTTTTATTTAAATAATATGCACACAAATATACAAAGGTTTCTCTGTGATATTGATACAGGTCACACACACACACAAACACAAACACACATACTGTATTGCACTGTTATCTATATATAATCTCTGTTAATAAGCAACTCATTCATAATTTTTATCCTACCCTTCAAATTTACACTCTCCAATGGTGGTTTTCTACTCTCCTCAAACATTACCATATTACAAATTGAAAATTGGTTACAAACTAGATGTCTCATCAAAACATCTCTGTCCTGTGTTTGTTTCCTCTGTTCTTTCTACTCTAAATTACTTAAAGTTTACTCCTGTGATTGCATTATTCTTATTTGAACATTGTTTTAATACAGTTTCTTTCTTCATAGTCAGACATTCTTGACATAAATGAAATATTTAAAGATTTGGGGATGATGATTCACGAACAAGGGGATGTGATAGGTAAGCAGAGGTCAACCTTTTGAGATCTTGCTTTTTTGTCGCATTTGGGCATGCTTGTTATATTGTATTAGCTTTTACAAGTATAAATGTAGCAGTTGAGGAAAATCTAGAATTATTTTAGGGGAAAGACTTGCGTTAAGAGGAACTTGGGTATACCAGGAATCTGAAGTGAGATTGATTCAAAAAGCTTAGCTGCATCATGGTCCTTGAACATGTTATATAGCTAGGATGAGAGTTTTAGCCCAAATTACATGAGAGGGTTAAGGAATGCCTTGTTCATTTTCAGTATAATACCAGCTGTCATGCAGGTACTTTATGTAACAGCAGGTGCTCTCTTTCTTTGGGAACAAGAATAGTCAAGAGTTAGAATTTATTAAACTGTTCCCTAGAATTTTTGAGGTTTTCCTGAAGCTTCACTTCTTGTAGTCTTACTCTACAGAGAGTTCAGAGCAGAGAGTTAAAATGATCAGGATGCATAGCTAAATTGTTAGAAGTATTCTAGTTTAATTATATATTTTTTTTAAAAAAAAATCATGCACAGAATATATATAAGAATGAGGTTTTTAAAGTCTCTTTTATTATATTGTTTATGCACAGCTCATTTCGTAAAATAGTTGTGATTATAATACAGGAAGTGAGATCCATAATAAAAAGTACGGTATATAGGAAACTATGCTTCAAAGCAAGGACAACAGTTGGCTCGACTAAAATGCCAGTCATTTGCAGATTCTTTTTCTCCCCTCCACCCCATAATTTACATGTATTCAGGGTAGCTTTTTAAGGGTTTAGTCTCTTTCTCTGTCTTGATTCCTATTGTTGGGGACAGAAAACACACATTTTCCTGGCATTTCCAGCAGCGTCTGCACAGATAGTCCTGGTGTTATGGTTACGGCTAATGAAACACTTCAATACTGTATATTCTTGCTTTGACACCTAGGCTTATGACTACAATTGGGACCAAAATTTCTGATGCTAAGTAAGGCAGTTGTTAAGCGAGTTGTGCCTTATTTTACAATCTTTTTGCCATGGCTGTTAAGTGAATCACTGCAGTGGTTAAGTGAATTATACAGCCATTAAACAAATCCAGCTTCCCCCATTGATTTGACTTATCAATAGCCAACTGGGAAGGTGATGACAATGACCGCAGGCCATTGCGACCACTGTACGTGCATGCTGGTTACCCAGTTCTCAAATTTTGATCCTGCAGGAACATTAGAACAATTATTAAGTGCAAGGACTGGTCATAAGTCACTTTGTTCAGTGTTGTTGCAACTTCAAATCTTACTAAGCAAATGGTTGTAAGTCGAGGACTACCGCATTGGAAGAGGCACTGAGGCTCAGTGGTTTAATGACACTGGAGATGGTTTCTGTTCCAATGGTTTGAGTTCTAGCATTGCGTGTCGAGTGAGCTCCCGTCATTTATCTCAGCTTCTGTCCACCTAAAAGTTTGAAAACATGTTCTATGTCAGTGGTGGTGAATCTATGGCATGGGTGCCAGAGGCGGCATTCAGAGCCCTCTCTGTGGGCACACACGCCATTGCCCCAACCCCATGGCCCCCTCCTCACCAGCAGCCCTCCGGAGGAGAGTCGCCCCGGGCACAGCCTGTGCAGACCAGCGCAGCCAAGGACATGGCAGCCGGACAGTGGGGACAAGACTCTACCCTCACGCCCCATCACGTACAGATCATGCTGTGGAGTGCAGGCAGAGGGCGTGGCTGCCATGGGCCGCCTGGGCAATCTGCTGTAGCGGGCCATGGAGTTGGTAGGTGGCCCTGTGGGCAAGAGATGCAGGGACGGGGCAGGGGCGAGTTTTTGGGCAGTCGATCTCTAAAAGGTTCGCCATTACTGTTCTATATGAATAGGTAAACTAGGTACCACTTTGGGGGGGGAGGACAAGCTGGTGTTCCATGCAGGCAGTCAGATTCCTACCCTCTGAAACTTCCCAGTTGCAGTACCCCATTTGGAAGGCAGCTCCGGGGGGGGGGGGGAAGAGTCCTTGGATGACACTACAGGAAGAGCCATTTGTATTTCTTTCTGGTGCAAAGCCAGCTCGCCCTCTTGTGGCGCACTATGGGAAGTGTGCAAGGATTTCCTACAACGGAGCTGGTACCTTGGCAGCCAAACTACTACTCTGCAATTGCACTGTAGTTTCCTAACTAATGTAACAATGCCATTTGGTGGTGGTAGTAGTAGTAGTAGTAGTAGTAGTAGTAGTAGTAGTAGTAGTAGTAGTAGTAGTAGTAGTAGTAGTAGTAGTAGTAATACCTGTACTGGAACATATACCGTTGTCCTTGGTTTTAATTTAATATATTTTTCAAACAATTGTTCTTGGAATTTATCTCAAAAGTTACAAAATGGATCTAAAAATATAAAGTCTCAGAGCAAGATGTTTCTGCCTGCATGTCAATTGTAGAGGACAGATTGTAATGTTTTTTTCTCCTTTCTCAAAGATAGCATAGAAGCTAATGTAGAAACAGCTGAAGTCCACGTTCAGCAAGCAAACCAGCAGTTATCGAGAGCAGCAGACTACCAGGTAAACGTTATCACAAGCAAAAATAGTACAGATAGTCCTCATTTAGTGACTGCAATTGGTTCTGATGACTTAGTCATTAAGCGAAATGATTGCTAAGCGAACATGTGACACGGGGGGAGGTAGAGAAAGATGCTGCCACATCATTGGTTGCTACTGTTTCATTTAGATAAACGTTCTGTGGGGCCTTTGGTGCTGTCTGACCTTGGTATTTGTCTTGCAGACTTTTCATTACCAAGCTAGTTGGTAATGAAATAAGTATGTTATGCATACTTGCACAACAACTGCACAACACTAACTTTGATGTAAAATTCCAGTGGAAAGTAAATTTGATTTTCAATCATCCAGATTCTGGAAAAAAATATATCTAACCTGGCACAAAAATTAGTGGATTTTGATGCCACCTGCCAATGCTGGAAATCTCTGAATAGGAGTCTCTCCTTGCATGACATCTGTCAAGACTCTTTGTTTAAATGGGGCAGAGTAGCCTCCCCTGAACATGAGGTGCTCCTCGACAGACGCTGGATCATTTAGTGACTAGCTGCCATTTGAGAGCTTATGCAGAAGGAAAAACAGATTTTCTCCAACTAACAAACACTGCGCTTAATTGGATAAATTGCCTAGATATTAATATATAGAAGACTTATTCCATTCTCATGAACCAACGTATTTCAAAGTATAACCTATAACTTATATACAGTGGGGGGAGAAGTATTTTCCCTAACTGATTTTGCCCACTGACAAAGAAATAATCAGTCTATAATTTTAATGGCAGGTTTATTTTAACAGTGAGAGACAAAATAACAACAAAAAATCCAGAAAAACGCATTTCAAAAAAGTTATAAAGTGATTTGCATTTTAATGAGTGAAATACGTATTTGATCCCTTATCAATCAGCAAGATTTCTGGCTCCCAGATGTCTTTTATACAGGTACCGAGCTTACATTAAGAGCACTCTCTTAAAGAGAGTGCTCCTAATCTCAGCTTGTTACCTTTATAAAAGACACCTGTCCACAGAAACAATCAATCAATCAGATTCCAAACTCTCCACCATTGCCAAGATCAAAGAGCTGTCCAAGGATGTCAGGGACAAGATTATAGACCTACACAATGCTGGAATGGGCTACAAGACTATTGCCAAGCAGCTTGGTGAGAAGATGACAACAGTTGGTGTGATTATTCAAAATGGAAGAAACATAAAATAACTGTCAATTTCCCTCGGTCTGGGGCTCCATGCAAGATCTCACCTCATGAAGTTTCGATGATCATGAGAACAGTGAGAAATCAGCCCAGAACTACATGGGAGGATCTTGTCAATGATCTCAAGGCAGCTGGGACCATAGTCACCAAGAAAACAATTGGTAACACACTACGCCGTGAAGGACTGAAATCCTGCAACGCCCACAAAGTCCCCCCGCTCAAGAAAGCACATGTACAGGCCCATCTGAAGTTTGCCAATGAACATCTGAATGATTCAGAGGGAGAACTGGGTAAAAGTGGTGTGGTCAGGTGAGACCAAAATCGAACTCTCTGGCATCAACTCAACTCACCATGTTTGGAGGAGGAGGAATGCTGCCTATGACCCCAAGAACACCATCCCTACCGTCAAACATGGAGGTGGAAACATTATACTTTGAGGGTGTTTTTCTGCTAAGGGGACAGGACAACTTCACTGCATCAAAGGGACAATGAACAGGGCCATGTACTGTCAAATCTTGGATGAGAACCTCCTTCCTTCAGCCAGGGCATTGAAAATGGGTCGTGGATGGGTATTCCAGCATGACCCAAAACACCCTGCCAAGGCAATAAAGGAGTGGCTCAAGAAGAAGCACATTTAAGGTCCTGGAGTGGCCTAGCCAGCCTCCAGACCTTAATCCCATAGATAATCTGTGGAGGGAGCTGAAGGTTTGAGCTGTCAAACGTCAGCCTCAAAACCTTAATGACTTGGAGAGGATCTGCAAAGAGGAGTGGGACAAAATCCCTCCGGAAATGTGTGCAAACCTGGTGGCCAACTACAGGAAACATCTGACCTGTGGGATTGCCAACAAAGGTTCTGCCACCAAGTACTAAGTCATGTTTTGCGAAGGGGTCAAATATTTATTTCACTCATTAAAATGCAAATCAATTTATAACTTTTTGAAATGGGTTTTTCTGGATTTTTTGTTGTTATTCTATCTCTCACTGTTAAAATAAACCTACCATTAAAATTATAGACTGATCATTTCTTTGTCAGTGTGCAAACGTACAAAATCAGCAGGGGATCAAATAATTTTTTACCCCACTGTATAACTTCTTGAATTCCTCATGCCTTACAAAATGGGCTACATATTTCCATCATATGTGCACCATAGTATTATGTCCTCCTTTTATATATTTTTACTACTGTCATCCACATACAGGTAGTCCTTGACTTACAACAGTTCACTTAGTGACCTTTTAAAGTTACAGCTTAATTGAAAAAAAGTGACTTATGATCGTGTTTTACATGGACGACCATTGCAGCATCCTCATGGTCACGTGATCAACATTTGGATGCTGGGCAACTGGTTCATATTTATGACAGACGCAGTGTCCCGGGATCATGTGATACATCCTTTGTGATATTTTGGCAAGCTAAGTCAATGGAAAAGCCAGATTCACTTAACGAGCCTAATTTA